GAGGGAGGGTGGGAGGGAAAGTGGGTGGGAGGGGGGAGGAAGGAAAGATGGAGGGAGGGTGGGAGGGAAGGTGGGAGGGAGGGTGGGAGGGAGGTTGGGAATGAAGGTGGGAGGGAAGGTGGGAGGGAAGATGAGGGAAGGTGGGAGGGAGGGTGGGAGGAAAGGTGGGAGGGAGGGTGGGAGTGAAGGTGGGAGGGAGGGTGGGAGTGAAGGAGGGAGGGAAGGTGGGAGGGAAAGTGGGTGGGAGGGGGGAGGAAGGAAAGATGAGAGGGAGGGTGGGAGGGAAGGTGGGAGGGAGGGTGGGAGGAAAGGTGGGAGGGAGGGTGGGAGGGAGGTTGGGAGTGAAGGTGGGAGGGAAGGTGGGAGGGAAGATGAGGGAAGGTGGGAGGGAGGGTGGGAGGAAAGGTGGGAGGGAGGGTGGGAGGGAAGATGAGGGAGGGTGGGAGGGAAGGTGAAAGGGAAGGTGGGAGGGAGGGTGGGAGGGAAGATGGGAGGGAAGATGAGGGAGGGAAGGTGGGAGGGAGGGTGGGAGTGAAGGTGGGAGGGGGGGAGGAAGGGAAGATGAGAGGAAGGGTGGGAGGGGGGTGGGAGGAAAGGTGGGAGGGGTGGGAGGGAGGGTGGGAGGGAGGGTGGTGAGTGAAGGTGGGAGGGAAGATGAGGGAAGGTGGGAGGGAAGATGGGAGGGAAGATGAGGGAGGGTGGGAGAGAGGGTGGGAGGGAGGGTGGGAGTGAGATGGGAGGAAAGGTGGGAGGGAAGGTGGGAGGGAGGGTGGGAGGGAAGGTGGGAGGGAGGGTGGGAGGGGAAGATGAGAGGGAGGGTGGGAGGCAAGGTGAAAGGGAGGATGAGAGGGAGGGTGAGAGGGAAGGTGAGAGGGAAGATGAGAGGGAGGGTGGGAGTTAAGGTGGGAGGGAAGTTGGGAGGAAGATGAGAGGGAGGGTGGGAGGGAAGATGAGAGGGGGGTGGGAGGGAAGGTGAAAGAGAGGGTGGGAGGGAGGTTGAGAGGGAGGGTGGGAGGGAAATGAGAGAGAGAGAGGGTGGGTGGGAGGGAAGGTAAAAGGGAGGGTGGGAGGGTAGGTGAGGGGGGGAGGGTGGGAGGGAGGGTTGGAGGGAGGGTGGGAGGGAGGGTGGGAGGGAGGGTGAAAGGGAAGGTGGGAGGGAGGGTGGGAGGGAGGGAAGGTGGGAGGAAGGTGAGAGGGTGGGTGGGATTGAAGGAGGGAGGGAGGGAAGGTGGGAGGGTGGTAAGAAGGGAGGGAAGGTGGGAGGGAAGATGGGATGGAATGTGGGAGGGAGGGTGAGACGAAGGTGGGAGGGAGGGTGGGAGGGAGGGTGGGAGGGAGGGTGAAAGGGAAGGTGGGAGGGAGGGTGGGAGGGAGGGAAGGTGGGAGGAAGGTGGGAGGGAGGGAGTGAGGGAGGGTGGAGGGAGGGAAGGTGGGAGGGAGGGTGGGAAGAAGGTGGGAGGGAAGGTGGGAGGGAGGGAAGGAGGGTGGGAGGGAGGGAGGGAGGGAAGGAAGAAAAGAAGGAGTAAGGGAGGGAGAGAAGGATTAAGGGAGGGAGGGAATATTAAGGGACTAGTTAAAATAAGTAGAATGGGAGGGAGGGAAGGGAATGAGGGAGGGAGAGAAGAGAAATAAGAGGGATGTTACGAAAGTAGAAGAGAAGTAAGGCAGGGAATAAGGGAGAAAGGGAGTAAGAAAAGTCAGGAAGATAACGCAGGAGGAAGTGCAGGGAGGAAGAGTGACAAGGGAGAAGGTAAGGAGAGAGAGAGAGAGAGAGGTCATGAACAGGTCTTGTATGAATAATAATGACTAATAATAATAATAACTAATAACAATAATAATAATAATACGCCTCACTGGTCTGTCATCAATATGTTTTTTAAGATGGATGACTTTAAATGGCCGAGTGACCTTTAAGATGAATGACTTTAAATGGCCGAGTGACCTTTAAGATGGATGACTTTAAATGGCCGAGTGACCTTTAAGATGAATGACTTTAAATGCCGAGTGACCTTTAAGATGGATGACTTTAAATGGCCGAGTGACCTTTAAGATGAATGACTTTAAATGGCCGAGTGACCTTTAAGATGGATGACTTTAAATGGCCGAGTGACCTTTAAGATGAATGACTTTAAATGACCGAGTGACCTTTAAGATGGATGACTTTAAATGGCCGAGTGACCTTTAAGATGAATGACTTTAAATGGCCGAGTGACCTTTAAGATGAATGACTTTAAATGGCCGAGTGACCTTTAAGATGAATGACTTTAAATGGCCGAGTGACCTTTAAGATGAATGACTTTAAATGGCCGAGTGACCTTTAAGATGAATGACTTTAAATGGCCGAGTGACCTTTAAGATGAATGACTTTAAATGGCCGAGTGACCTTTAAGATGAATGACTTTAAATGGCCGAGTGACCTTTAAGATGAATGACTTTAAATGGCCGAGTGACCTTTAAGATGGATGACTTTAAATGGCCGAGTGACCTTTAAGATGGATGACTTTAAATGGCCGAGTGACCTTTAAGATGGATGACTTTAAATGGCCGAGTGACCTTTAAGATGGATGACTTTAAATGGCCGAGTGACCTTTAAGATGGAATGACTTTAAATGGCCGAGTGACCTTTAAGATGGATGACTTTAAATGGCCGAGTGACCTTTAAGATGGATGACTTTAAATGGCCGAGTGACCTTTAAGATCGATGACTTTAAATGGCCGAGTGACCTTTAAGATCGATGACTTTAAATGGCCGAGTGACCTTTAAGATGGATGACTTTAAATGGCCGAGTGACCTTTAAGATGGATGACTTTAAATGGCCGAGTGACCTTTAAGATGACTTTAAATGGCCGAGTGACCTTTCGAGGTTGTCCAATACCCGATTTTTTTTAAAACATCGTATTTTGAAATTTTGGTTCGGAAATTTTCATTGATATTATATCTAATGTTGTTTAACATCTTCCATGTGAGAAAATTCACTTTCTCTCTCTCTCTCTCTCTCTCTCTCTCTCTCTCTCTCTCTCTCTCTCTCTCTCTCTCTCTCTCTCTCTCTCTCTCTCTCTCTCTCTCTATGTATGTATTAAACAAGAC